GAGGGAGGGGAGGGAGGCCCGTCGTGCCTGGCCTGGCGCCGAGTTCAACCAGCTTTTTTCTTTTTTTCCCTTCTTTTCCTAAATTTAGACGCGGGACTTTCTGTATTACGAAAGCAGCTCCAGCCCTGGCGGAGCGAGAGACCGAGAAGCCCCGGTGAAGGGCGGCTGCAGCAGCCGGGGACTTACACAGCTACAGGCCCGACCCTGGGGGAAGGCCCTTAAAAACTACACCTCCACCTGAGAGGATTTTCCCCCCCAGGGGCCGCTTGCACAAATGAAACTGGAAAGAACAGGGTCTACAACAAGGCAGAGAACTGGCAATTAAATTTAACGTACATTTTTGGAGAAAACGGATAGCTGTTCAGAGAATTACAGAAACGAAACAGGGGCAGAGGAAGAAGAGAGTTCCAAGAGAAGAGGTTCTCTGATTGGGATGTGCTTCCCTACCAAACCACCTAGTTGTCTGGGGAAAATGGAAGATCCCTCCCATTACACTACTGTACTCTCCCCACTGATTTTAGAGCACAGGTTATCGCCCCTTTTGCGGTCCCTGATAACTTTACCCAGTAAACCATGTGCTGCAAGTAACATCTCACTTCAGCCAAGCGGTAGTATGGCAAGTGGAGCAGGAATTAAAGTACAGGGCTTTGTGGGCAGTTTGTTACCTGTGAGCCAGAGGTTGAAGACTGCTGCTCTAGACTTTCCCTCTCTGGATAGATTGATAAATAATACAATTATGCAGAAAGCCCTCGGGTCTCTGATGGGAGTAGTTCCCAGGTCAGACTTATTCAGAAGCTCTCCCCTAGAAAGCAGAATAACACCCGTTTATGCTCTGCCCCTCTCAGCACGCATGGGTGGGATTTACTCTTCTTGCAGAACTAGAAGCGGTTGGTGTTTTGGCAGTCGTGCCCTGCTTTTACATGAAGGTAAGAGGTAAGACCTCTCCAAAATATGAGACTGACCCTGCCTCAAATTGCATAGCTGTTTTCCTGGTTAAAAACAAAAAAACCTCTCAGCACAATAGACAGAACTGCTTAAAATTCAGGAGAACCAAGCTGTGGCAACACCATGTTTTTAAAAAGCCACAAATAGAAAAGCTCTTCATAGACAAACATTTGTACTGGAAGTAAGCTGTACTTTTAAGCTTGTCCTAACTGTGGTTGGAGTCTTAACTATTCCATTTCTATCTCCACAGATTTAACCACAGAAATTAAGTACATGAAGTACCAGTGACTATTTCCTCTTGATAAATGCGAGGGGGGCATAATTTTTCCATCTCTCTTCCATTGTTTAGCTCAATTATTTAGGGATTATGACACCAAATGATAGGGAAAGGAGGAAGAACAACCCAGTCATTTAGCACGTCAAGCCCTTCTGCAAGTCCTCTAGGACTTCTGTACTTGAGAGCTTTTCTATTTTTTCTACAGAAGTCCCTCTCTTCCTATCAACTGTATCTGTAGTATCAGTCCAACCATAAATGCATTCTTAACCAGAAGTTTCCTCCTTAAAGGAGCTAATGAGGACCTTGTGCAAAACAACTATAAATCATGGTGAGGGGCACAATCACAATACAAGCATGTATCACAACCATCAGTAAATGCAGATAATTGAGGGTTATCAAGGCAACCAGGGATACCTAAAGGGAGGCAGTAAGTCTTGTAGCGTAAGGACTTGAGAAGATTAATGTCTACATCTTCAAATGCCTAAGAAATCCTTCCAAAGCTAAATTAACCAACATGAGTAGCTCATACTATTGTAGCAACAGAGTGTTTGCAATTTAAATTTAACTGTTAATGCATGAATGGGAACAGACTCGGCGCTGGTAAAGTTAATGGAAACTTTGTGGTCACTTCAGATAGGACCATAGTTTCATCACCTTACTGATAATTAAGCTACAAAGGGTCTAGTAATGAAGCCTAAACCTGGAAGGAAACTGCCCGGGAGATTCTAACCAGTAACACATTTACCTACCTTCCATGAAATTGACTTTCTACAGAAGCTGAAGAAGTGGAATGAACCGTGATTTTTCTTTCACAGCCAGAGAAAGGTTGGTTATTTTTAAATTCAGATATCCCTTTGGAAAAAACTACTTCAAATTCTTCCCTCTGGTAATAGGCTTATTCCATACTCAGTGACATCAATGGGATTGCTCACAGAGCATCACCTGAAAAAGCTAACTCTTTAAGGAGTCAAGGGTTAGTGAATTTTAAAAATTCCAGTAGAGAGAGAGAAAGGAAAAAGGAGTAAATTACACTAATTCAGAAATTCTATTAGCTCCCAGTGTAGCTTATTAACCCCCTATCAAATTAAGACTAATTCTGTCAGGGTTGGTAGCAAAGCTTAAAGAACAAAAACAAAAATCCAGGAGAACTCCTGATTTTCCATCCGATTTAGGCAGAACAAAAATTCGTTCACTTTCTCTTGCTTTCTCTCTTACCAAGTCCCAAACTCCTCAAAAGGGTTTGAGTTCCCTCCCCTCATTCTCAAGAGATATCAGCAGTCTACACGTTTGACTAACAATTTAAAAGTGAGCTAGTGTACTGTAAGTACAGAGGAATACTAATTTAAGAAAGCAAATCTCAGAAAACGTTTCAAAGTAGCAGCACAAGTGTCCTAGTTCTCAAAAATAGAAACAGCAGTGTATGACAGTTTTGACTTCTATAAAGAGACTAAAGCTTTTCCTACTCATCGTCTCCATAAAAAAAGCCATGCCAGTTTTTAGTTAACTGTTTCCAATTTTAGCTTAGGGGTAATGTGATATGTTCTTTTCAGTAAGACATAATAGAAATCAGTATTTTTGCAGTTTTGCCTCATAATGAGGTATACACACATTCTACCCGCTTTGCACTATGCTCCTCCATCACACTGATGTCAAATATGACCTCAAGTACCAGTCATCAGTTAGGTTCTAATGAGAACAAACGTGAAGGTTTGAATCCAGTTATCAACCCATTACATTTCTGCAACAAAATACTACCCTGAAAACTTTATAAGAGACAGCCCTACTCACTACTAGGCTGTTTCTTAATGCTTTGCGTGATCCTTCCAAGTCCAAACACCACCTCTGCTGCATATGGTCCTTGAAGTCAAAGATGTCCATAAACACTTGTTTATGCTCAAGAACTCAACACCTGCTCAAATCACGAGAAGCTCATTGTTCAGTTCAACAGCAGGGAAGGCTGAAGCTGGGCTCAAATGCTGTAGTGTTTGTCTCAGCTGCCAAAGCAAATGACACTAATGAATAGGAGAGCATGGCATGGCCAAAGCAAAACACAAATCTACCCATTTGAGTTCTAAAGTATTTTATCCTGCGCTATCAGGAATCATTCATATGCAATACTTTAATCGCAAGGTACTGCTGCAATACAAGTGGTAAAGAGACTACTAAAATTAAAAGCATATTCTAATATTTATGAAAGGACTAATCTCAAGTATGCAGGATATTTGATTTATAACTGAAAGGTAAGAACTGTATCATGACTACTGTTGAAGAATACTCCTTTGATATTGTGTCTTTGAAGAGGAAGGCAGATATGGTATCTATATGAAACGTGATAACTGTTCAACAGGCTGCACTAAGCTAGCAAATCTTTATTTCCTTCAGTGAGAAATCAAGTAGTGACATAAAGAAACTATTTACATAGGCTGTGGAGTTTTTTGGTGTTAACTCCAGTGACGTGTCCATGAGATAACATAGTATCTCATTCCCATCAGGAGCACTGCTCTACAAGGACATCAAACCAAGAGGGACATATTCCCGAGTATCACATTGTAAAGCAGAACCCAGAACTGCATTTGTATTCTGTAGTGTTTGGGACCTATCTTATCCTCTCTTCCGCTCCCCAGACCCCTAGCATTGAAGTACAAGGAAAACGTAACACAAAAGAGCTCCACAGTAGTAAAAGGCTGAGGTCAGGATACACAGCCAAGTTACTGCATCTCATGGAACTTCCGCAGGGCAGCCAGGCCACAATCACTGACTGTCCCTATGCTCTCAGTCCTTCACAAAAGGAAGGTCTAAAAGCCAAGTCATGACAGATCTCTTTACACACGCTAGCGTAAGCATATATCCCAAATGCATAGGTGCACACAGTACTGTAATTAAATTGTTACTAAAAGCCTCCCACAATCATATTCCAGCAATATTGCCAGTGTAAGTGGCTTTTCTAAGAGATTCTGGTGTGCGTATTTCATACCATCAAAACAGAGAAACGTCCTACAAGATTGTCCTACTTGAACACTCCAGGATGTTCACACAGCAATGAATGATGCACCTTGAATAAACCAGAAGAACTCTCAAAGTTGATTGGGCATTAGGCAATTAGAATGCTAAAAAGCGACATGACTCCAGTGGTAAGAAGACAGAGTTTCAAATTTCCAAACCAGTTCTCCTGTTTTAATACAGTTTTAATGAACATCAGTCCAAGAGATCACTTGATAGTATGAGGTACATTCCTTGACCACATATGGCTGTGCTTAAGGAAAAGGACAAACATATACTTAAATTAAATAGTGTAATTTAATTTAGTAGCAGTTTAATTATCATTAAGTTAAAAAAAGTTATAATTAACTATTAACGTTAATGACTTGAGACCTTTCAGAAAGCATGAATCCAAAAGGAAATATCCAGCAGGTGGTCACAGACTTGTAGTTTTTCCACCAGCATCAGTCTCTTAAAGACTATTTGTTCAACGAAGAAATTGGTCTACAGTCTGTAACAGGAGTCTTGGCTCTGCTACTTTGCACGGTCTTCTAACAGATACACAATTAACTCATAGGTGGACAACACAATGGCTGTGTTTGGTATCTGCCGGATGAGTTGGGCAAAGAGTCCTCTATAGAAGGCGAGATAGCCTTCTTCACGTGCTACCAGACGAGCTGTCTGAATGAAAGTCTTGTATTTAGTGCCTTCTTCTCGCAGCCGTGTCCGTATGACCTCTGCAGAAAAGCAAAACAGAGCCCAAAGTTAACAAGAGTTAAACCTTCTCATTGAGAAACATGCCATTACCAGGGAAGAGTATGCAAAAGCCTCCCGTACCAATTGCCTGCTAGTACTTTCAGCCATGGAATCCTGTACACTTTGCCCTTCAGGCAAGAAGCAAAGTTAAAGATGAGCTCCCTTTCATGTGGAATAAGTGGATTATTTGCTCATTCAAGCTACTACAGAAGTAAATGCTTCACTTAATCAATATTGTTCTTTCTATATAACCATGGTAACATTCATGTCTATCCAAAAAGAATAACACTGCTCAGCCCACAAGTGTTTCCCATCACTTGATCACAGAATCCCAAAGGCTGCGGGGTGCTCAGCTAGATGAGGCTACTCGTGAGAACAGAAGCATTAGGAATTCAATTTCTTTTTGGCATTTTTTGAGTTGTTTTTAAACTAGGAAGTCCCAATCACCAGCTATGTGGCTAACTAGGAAAGCTGGGACCAGTACTGAAAATGCCAACGCATATGCACACGCCACAATCAGCCCTAAACCCCATCGTTCGTCTTGGATTACATGCAACAGCTGTTCTACTGCAGTCATAAATGGAAAAGTTAACATACCATGTGGGTAAGCAATACAAGAGGCACAGCCCTTGGAAACAGCAGCAGCAAACATCAGCCCAAAGAAGTTTGTCGAGTTCCTTTCGGTCCCCTTAGGAGGAGAAGGGGGCAGTTGGACTTCTTTTAAGTGCTTTTTTAAACTTTCGTATATAGCAAAGCAGATAATGGTCTCAGAAATCCCAGCATAGGAGGCAGTCAGGCCCCTATAAAAGCCGCGGATACCTTCTGTCTGGTAAACATATCTAGCACACTGCAAAGCATTCATTGGTTTTGAACCCCGGACTCTAAAAAACAAACAGAACAGAGCATATAATAAGCCCAGAAAAAGAATTAATATTAAAAAAAACCTCATGGCTTTCAATAGTTTTTATAACTATGGAAATGGTTCTCTGCTAAGTTCTACTCCAAAAGTCTTCTAGGAAAGCTGCACAGAGCAGGACTATCATACTAAGAGCGCACACTTGGCTTTGCTAATTCACTAATACATACTCATAATAATTCTTTCAGCTCAAGTTCTGTCCAGTCTGTCACAGTTCACACCAATGCTTTAAAAGGCAATAAGCATTGAAGAGACACTGCTTTGTGTTAAACTACTAATTCTGTTTGAAGCCATCTTCAGCATGCCAAGAGACAGAGGTCTGCTACGTGAGAAATGATCCTTCATCTTTAAGAGGCAGCACTCAGTTCAAAGATGCCACCCCGTGAAGTGCTGGAATTAAGTCTTATAAATTATTTATAAGTTGTGGTGCCTTAAAGGATCCTTCTTATCTGACCTAACACGTCCTTGCAGGAAGGAATTTCCATTCTAAGCAGTCACATTATTAGCAGTCCCTCATTGCTTCGATATCCACCAGTGACTGAATCACTCAACTAAAAGATATTACTGTCAAATTCCCTCTCTGTCTTCAGGAGGTATGCTTAACAGTAATACAGTGCTGAAGGAAGCAAAAGAACATTAATCCACTGCAACAGATTCTTATTGCCTCTAGAATGTTTCATGAAACTAAACTAATGTGGCTTCTCTACAATTTAAAACCATCACCCTTTCTGTTTACAGCTACCTTGGCTTGTTGCAGTAACACACACATCTGTATGATCTAGGATCAGTACAAGCCATGTTCCCAAATGGGACACAGGCTGCAACCTCATGCTCAGCCTCTCACATGAGCTCTTCTGACCTTTCCACAGCCTCTATTATTGCTGTATCAAAGCATGTCAGTCCTTGATATATTTATCCTCAACACCAACCCCTGAAGTACAGAAGATTCTGTAAGCAGGAATCAGAGAAAATTAATGCTATGCCCAATTTTACTTAAAATTTACAGTGAAACCAGAAACTGAACCTAACTCAGCACTCAAGGCAACTTCCACATCCTTCTCAATAGTAACTGTGCATCAGACTGAAGCAGGACACACAGAACCTTAACCTTTAGTCTGACCAGGCAGAAGCATGGTGGCTTGAAAGGTGGAATTGAGAGTCAGGGAAACAACCAGGTAAGATCTATCGAAGGACAAAGAGCCATGAGTAAAAACGTGAAAGTTCAGTTTTCCAGAGGCTCCCTTAGCCACCCAGTGGCATCCAATCTCCCTCAACCAGTTACTTACTTCCGTTCCAGTTGCATTCTGGTTTTCACCATCCATACAGGATTCATCAGGGAATTTGTGATAAAGGCTGAAAAAGAGAAAAGAAAACCAAAAGTATAGCTGAATCCAGGCCGGTGTATTGCCATGACAAACATGGACTTTATACACCGTGCAGTGAGACACTTTTAGTTACCAGCTCTATCTAGAGGTTTCAAAAGACATGCAGGTGCGTAGCTTACAATCTCTCTCTTGCCGGAGAACCATCTCATGTTAAACTTCAGGAGGCATCAACCAATGGCCTTAGAATTTCTTAAAGGATTCTTCCTTTTTGCACCTATTTTAATATGTACTTCATGTTCCTAAGGACTGCTGTAGAACAAGATACCTTACTTACTGACTGGGTTTTAGAATAATAGATAAAAGGAAACCTGTGGGGAGCACACACATGTATTAGTCTTTTGTTTTCCCCAAGGCTCTAGGTGGTGCCATTGAGCCATCTCATTAACAGAATCCACCCATAATTAAGGGCTTAGTTTAGGAAAAACTATTTTTAATGATCACTCTGGTGACCGATGCTTGAACTAGTGGAGCTCTTCTGCAGTATTTTTCCTACAAGAACAAACTATTTTGCCCATTCTGGTAGGAAAAATACAACATCCTAAAACAATCAAAGACAATTAAGACTATCAAAAGTTTGCTGTGTCTACTAATATTTTTTTTTCCTACATTCAGAGACATTACCATGGCATTGCCGCTGGAAAACAGTTCATCCCAAGTTAGTAAACAATAATCTAGAAATATTTCAAAGTGTTGAACAGGTAAACATTTCCTCTGTAGACAAGGTAAATTAGGAGCTAGCAAACTCCTGTTTTCTGGCATGTACAACCTCAAACTAAGCGTACCTTTTCAGAACACGCCACATACTGGCCTCTGTACTCATTCATATACCACAATTATCCAGAGCTGTCAGCCAAGACTGGTGTGTTAGCCTAGGTCCTGTACAGACAGACCGAAAGTCCAGTCTCCACCTTATGATTCATTCTATTTGTTTCCTAACTATTGAGAGGGATAGAGGAAATCTTGTAGCAACAACCGCTTGGAATAAATACTTTAAAGAATTAAGGTGCATCTCAGAGCCGCACGGATACCAATGCATGTATTGCCTACTATTGGCGAGGGGCTGGACACTGGGGTATTGCTGCAGACCATACGAAGATGAATTACAAATACATACCTGCAGAACCTGCAGAACAGATGTGCACAATGTTGCTGTTGGGCACAAAAATGCCATTAAATTGCTCTTTGGCTTTGGAGTAGCATGCAAAATAGACAGCTCTGGTGGGGGAGGGGGAAAGAGAGAAGAAAAGCAATGTAATACACACAACATCAAATTAGACGTGTTACTATTCTTCCCCCCACCCCCCGAAAAACAAGACTTTCTCTCCAAAGAGGCCTCCACATAACTAATTCCACCTACAAGGACAGAGGGTTTGGGTTTTTTTCCTCTTACACTACAGTGCCACTGTCTGACTTGACACCCACAGGGTAGAAATATTTTACTTTCACACCAAGTCTGAGATGGGAGGCAACATGGTCTTGCAGACAACGCAAGTTAGATTGGATACCTACACCAGCTCTGGCATTAAACACGCTTTGTAAACTTGGGAATGTCACTTTCCCACCTGGAGCCTATGTTTTCCATAAATTTGTTCCGCACTGTAATTGCATTAGCACCAGCTCATGCTTTAAACACTTAACACTGGACTGAAATGAAAAAGTTTTACACACCTCAAATCCCTACGTAATGCATAGGAATAGAGGAAGCTCAGCTGACCTGCAACAGTCAATATGACGAGTAAGAAGCTGTATGTATGAACCAAGTATGTTCAGATCACAGCTCCTTGAAGTGAACTACTAGTAAAAGGTGGATATTGGTGGCTATAATTTGCGAATTTCCATAAGTACCTTATTCCAATCTTCTGGAAGAATATGAAGGAACACAAAAGACAGCATGAATGAGTTGCATGAAAAAGCAGGCAGTCTCAGATTCAGACCCCTGCTGCAAAGATTACCCGTACAGAAACAGGATTCCCCACTTCCAGGGGAACATCCTACCTACTAGGCAAGAGGCCAGAGAGGGAGTACACCACTCTCCAAATTCCTTTTTAACTGGTGCAATTTCAGGCAGAGAACATCTGCCAATTTCCCAACTGCTAACAAGTTTTAACATTTGCTAGGCACAAAGATCTTCAGCCCTGCCAAGAACAGGATAGTCATAGGTACACGTGGAAACCATTTAGGTGCCTGTAACACTTCCAAATACAAACAAACTTTGTAGCTACTTTTGTTGTTGCTGTTTAAAAAAAAAAAGGACACCCCCCCACTTCGGGGTTAGGTGGCAGCAATGCAAGTCTTTCCCCCTCAGCTGCAGTTTTTCATTTGAGAAGAATTTAGGCAATCAAGGACCCCTCTCCCCGGGCATCTAGTTCCTACTCAGTGTTTGTCAAGCACTTTTATGTATTCGCAGGGAAGTAGCAGATCATATTAGAAAAACGCAAATATTAATCCTACAGATTTTTCTGCACTACTTTCTCTTGTTTTCTCAAGCACATGATAAGTGGCTCTTGCAATGACTTGGAATTTAAGTGCCTTATTTAATCTGCACCTTCCACTGTTACAGAAGTGTACAAGCAGATTTTTAGAAGTATTTCTTGGTATGTATACTGTGCAGTATACATGCACAAATCTCAGTTTACAGATGGGATAACTTCCACAAATGCACTGCAACATTTGGGTTGGTACCTTAAATGTGTCTTTTAGCAATAGTTTAACTATTTACCTTGATGGTGCAACTCCAACCAAGTTTGGACCCAGCCCTCGGAAGAGTGACCTTGGTCCTTCTTTTTCCAGAATTGACCTTAAATTTTTTTATTTGGGTTAAAAGTTATGCTTCTCATTCTGTCAGACAGTCAGTCAAAAGAACTGTACAAAAGCAATGAGTATTAATTGTGAAGCTGTTAGCTTTTAAGCTACATAATATACTTGAAAATGAGCAGAATTCTACACTACTGAATAAAAGCCGCTATACCATAAAACTTCTGTGCACTACAGGCAAATGTGTGTCATATGGCACAAGGTTATAACTCCCATTCTTTGAAAGCTGTCAGGAATTGAATTAAAGTTTCATGGAGCATCCAGCGATAGTTGACTGATGAACAAAGAATATTTTTGGCATTCTCTGTATCTAAGCAATTCAGGAGTTTGCTTCCTGTATAGAGAGACAAAAAAAAGAAATCCTTTTCCCTTTCACAATTACCTAGTGATGTGTTTTTTCCCCAGAGTGAAAGCTGAACGTGGCAACCGTACTACAAGCTCTGTCTCCCCAGGTAGCTCAGGGATATCTGGTTTTGAGGGCATTCAAAAGAGTTCACATCATCTTTCCCAAGTAAACTCCAACTACAGAGGCGCTGCTGTGAATCACTGTCAGGACTGGACTTCGTGATCAGGTCTAAAGCAGGAAGATCACCAAATGATGCTTTCCTGCAGTTCTGCAATTGCTACAGCCCAGGTTTCCAAAGCCATTTCCACCCATCTTCCCTCACACCTTAGAAGGCACACTGGGCTAGGACTTCTCTGAAGAAGATAAACTGTTTGGACAGCTTTCCCAGCAGCTGCCAAGTTCTGTAAAATACCTTGCTGAAGTACCTCATTAAAAAAGACTTATCTTACAAATTCTTTGCACTACTAACAGCAGAGGACCAAAACAAAAGCCAACCACTAGTAAACAGCCAAGTATTTACCAGTGAAAGCCAGATACTGTTCAGTAATCACTGGGATTTCAGTGCACAGCAGCCCTCTTAACTGAACTCACCACGTGAAAACCATGCAAGAAAATCCAGATAACAGCGGGCTCCATGGGTACTTCACGTGCACCTGTTGGAACTGCCAATTTTTCAGAATTTGCTTTCTCGGTCATTAGCACTGTTGAGAACGTTCCCCACAGATTCCAAAACCAAGCTCATTAGACAGAAGAAGATTTGGAGCTTCTGAAACACTTTTTCTGCAGCAGAGTTGAACTTTCTGTGTAAACTCCAGGGCTGAGTGTCTCCAAGGAGACAGATCCACCAACTACTTGTTCTTTGTCACTTAACAGTCACGACTGCAGATTCCAGCTGGGGTGACTCATCAGAATCTTAAATGAATTAGACAAAAACAGCCTGTCCTTCTGGAGTGCTTTCTATTCAGCAGCAGGCTTAACCTGCCCTCCTGAGTACCTATTTTCTTTCTATTAACAGCAGTTAAGGGGCTTTCACACTCAACACCTTTAACTCTTACAGAGCAATTTTATACGTAGGGCTCTAACGGCTGCTTCTTTAGCCATACAGTTTTCCCAAATCAGAAGGCCCAAGTCATATCCAGTTTGGCAATGCATGCATGACCAGGATTGAGAAACGGATGGAAGAGTAAAAGCAAGAGACCTAACTTCACTTCTTTCTTCATATGTTTGTATTTTATCAGAAAGATCATAATGATTAGCATTATCTGTTCTGCATAGATGCTGCCTGCAAGGGAATGACAGCATAAATATTTTGCTCTCGCTTCTCAATCCTCTGAAGTAAGCAGGTCAAAAACTTGGTGATGCACGCAGCTGAGCCATTCCTGAAGTAAAATGAAATCAAGATCATAGTCATCGAATTTAATGAGCTTAATAAATATATTAAAAGGTTGACCCAATTTGAAACCATTTCCTCTCTCCCTAAAAAAAAAAAAAAAAAAGACAACCCCAGAAAAAGATGGGCCAAGAGGATGAATTAAAAGCCTCATGTCTTGAAGTTTTCACTTCCTTTGGTTACAGCTGCCTGAAGTCCAATGCTGCAAGGTGAAAAGATAGCAAGGGAAAGGAGATGAAAAAATCAAAGGCAACTGGCACTACCTTACATTTTCAGTCACGAATTGCTCGACTCACCTCTGAATAGACAAAGAAATGTTTGGCAGGGGAAAGAAGCACTGTTTACAATACAGAAACTCAAGTCCCAGAATGACTCTAGCCAGATAGTTCTGCAGAGAATTTGAATTAGCACTGTACTGTTATATAACTGTGCAGCTTCTCCCCAGGCCATCTGCCAAGCGTGTTGGCCTTACGTAAAATCATTCAACTTGCTTTGCTAGTCATTATTTTCTTTGGCATTTCTGCTACCTGATCTAAACAGGACCTCTCTGCATCACCCTGGGGTGCCCAATGATCCAAATAAACTTGATCCATTTGCATGAGGTCTGAACCATAGGTTTATGATGCTTTGATATGAAATACAGTAGTAGAGATTTGGACTTCAGAGTTGCTGGTAAAACTATTCAGCAGCTGTAAGCTAGATAATTTCACATTTCCTCTTCTTTATGAATACACATCTGAAAAGGGAACAGCTGGAGCATCAACTGCTGCAGTCTGAACCACGCAGGCGGCCTTTAACAGAGATCGTAATACAGGTGTAGATAGGATTGATGCGTAATAATAATTGGCAAAGACAACATCTAATAGCAGAGGAGAGCTCATTAAGTCACCTATAGCTGAGGAAAAGATAAAAGCTTCCAAGACCCCACTTAGACATTAGATTTTAGTGAGACTACTTTTGCAAAAAGCATCCTTCCCCCACTCCCGTAAGTTTCAGTTACAGATCATCCACACAAGAGTGCAGACAAGCGTAACAAAATATATGGGAACACAGAATTCTGGAGGTCATCCGGTTCAAACTCATGCTCAAAGCAGGGCCAGCTTCAAAGACAGATCAGGGGCTGACATGCATCACTAAGGGCAGGGAATCAGAAACCTTCTTACAATGCTGGTCCATTAAGGTGAAGAAAGGCTACAGGCTCTCACTTTTATGCAACGCTCCAAAGAGAGCGCTTCAAGACAGGAATTAAAACTTCCCTCCATCAAACAGGTAAATAGCATGGACAGCAATAGCAACAAGTGCCTCTACTAGCTACTCAAAGCAAATTGGGAATGGCCCCAGGAAAAAGAAAAAGACAGTGTATATGGCTTATTCAGTCCTTCAATCATTTGCCAAGAATTGGCCCCAGCTAGTAAGGATTACCTGTTCCAATGCTCAAAGGACACAGTAAACATTATTATTATTTCCAATAAGGGACAAAGACGACACTTCTCAGTGTTGAAAAAGAGAAAAAGCGCTTTCCTCCAGAATATTTTCTGTGATAGTCCCCACAAGCTAAGGCATATCAAGAGTTTACAGTATGTCCTGTGTATTGATCCCTAGGAAGTCACAACTACCAAAAAGCCTAAATGTGAGGAGGCAATTTAAAAATAACACCTCCAGACACTTACTCAATTCACTTAGGAAAGTTTCTAAGTGATGCAAACAGATTTCTGTGGAAGTTCAAAGGAACACTCAGGAATTGTGAACACGTATGTGTTTTTGGAAGAGTAATTTATCTTTCTACTGCTGAAGGCAGAAGCCCAACTGACACGAATCCTTCCAGTGCAAGTCTGGAGCAAAATTTGGTTTCCGTGTTTGCACAGAGGAACTGAAACTCAGATCACTGGTGTCAGGCAACATTGAATGACAGGAGGAGCAGTACTCACTTGAGAACACTGAAGAGCCCAGGTGATACAGATGTTGGCCTGACCATTCCTTCACCACTGATGGTCCCCAGCTGGACTTGTGGGTAGTAGACAGCCCGGAAGGCTAGCTTTGAAGATTGGAGCCTAGTCTTTATTACCTCTAAGGGACATGTAAAGATGGCGCCAACTGTTCCTCCGCATCTGTAAAACACAATTTAAACAGAAGACAAGAGTTAGGAAAACATAGCTGCACAGATGTGTCAAATCACAGCATGGCATATAAATAAAATCTGAAGACTTGTCTCCAGTTGCTCTGCATTGTGGACGAATTGTTAGGAAGCAGAGCAGTTTTGGCATTAGGCAAGGGAGACTGTTCCCAAGTCCTGGCAGAGGTGAGAGAAGGTTGAGAAACTGTTATAATGATCATGTGTAGCGATGGGATTGGTAAACACAAAGATGATACCCAGCACTAAAAAAAAACCCCTGACTGACCATCTGCTGGTCCCATGTTCTGCCAGGTCTTGGAATTCTGCCTGTCAAAACTTCAGAGGCATCCATGTTTCAGAGGTGGTTGTCCTAAAACAGATACACCCTTGGACAGATTTTTCTTATAGGAAGCTGGCAGATGAGAACAAGCCACCGGGGATTAGGACACTATAGACCGAAAACACAGCAATATAATTCTTCACCATTTCAGTACTTATGATTAAAACAGCTGTCTACTGAAATAGCAAACATCAAAACTACGCTAAGTTAGGCCCTCCTAAAAACAATGGATACCAACTACTTTTTTGGGGGTGGGGGGAAGGAAGCTGCAAGGATGAGAGGGAGGGTGGGAAAACAGAGTAACGGGACAGAGTAACAGGACAGAAAGGCTACTAAAGAACAGAATTCCCATACTCTGATAACAGAAGGACAAAAACAAAATACTATACATCCACAAATACTTGTGTGTGTGTGTATATATACATACACATATAGACACACACAAATATATATATAAAGAAGAAATAAATGATCTGACAATAGGCATATACTCATCTTAACGTAGTCAGACTGAGCCTCAGAAAAAGCACACCAGGCCAAGAATATAAGATGTACGAGTCCTAATTTTCATTTTAATCAGTGATGTGGAAAGTGACTGGTCAAACCATTTCTCTCTGTGCTGCTGTTCCTCTTTGGTAATTGAATGTCCCTTCTGTCAAACTTCACAATTAAACATGATGTTGAGGTTGGCTAAAAGGCACTATATCTAGATTTTATTAATCAAACACGTTGGTATTTAGGAAAACTAAGTATTTCAGGTTTTTTCCAAGGACATTTACTACAACTGAACCTATGGACTAGGAAACATTTTCTTTGTTTACACAAGTGTCAAAGCATGTGATTCCTTCAAAAACCCGTGTTTGCGATCTTCCCTTAGAAAACACTGTGAGTCAACAACTTAACTCTCTTTGATGTTAATGTGAAATTGTAATTTAAGTAGTTTTCCATGAAAAGGAGATGAATTAAAAAAAAAAAATCCTATTCTTTGTCTTGCGCATGAAAAAAGCATTGCTTGCTAGAGTCATAAGAAGTTTACATGCACTAATTTGGGAACAGAGATCCATAAAGGGACATTAATAAAGGTACTAGTGCATATTTTCTAAAGCCCCATCTGTACATGACCTATTTTACTAGAAGAATCTTTTTTTAAACACAAGGAAAATGGTAATTAAAGAACGGCAGAAAAATCCAAGCTGTAGATATAAACTAGTTTATAAATGCTTTATCCAGTACAGCTTATTTTGCTTGCTGAAACGGTATGTCTTATATCAAACAGTAACCATTCTTTGCCAAAACCCTGAAGCCCCTGCATTTGCACTAGCAGCCTGGCCACCCTGGCTGTACAACCACAAAAATTAAGGTTCTTTATAAGGTTCAAAAGGACACCTCAGACCCCACGGCCGGGGAATACAACTTCCTCACTACAGTTCTCATGTTCTGCAAGATTCTGTCCAAGTACGTGACCCCAAACGCTATGCTTTTCAGATACAAACGCATCCAACAGGAGAAACTCTGTTTTCACTAAGACAGGCAATATGATTTAACAGCATGCTTCAATGAGTTTCTCCTTTAAGTTCTTGCTTCTTCCTCTTCCCTGCTGAAAGGGGAAAAAACCTAAACTAGGGACAATCCATACATCCAAAGTGACAGATACTATAAGAAAGAGCTTTGCCTTCATCCCTTTTAAACCACTTATGCTTTGATGGTTGAATAAAGTCACAAAGTTGTTCGTGGAACTAGGTACCTAGCAGCTGAAGTTGTATCATTTGGCTCAAAACCGACAGTGTTCACAAAGACCTTATCAGGCCTCTGATTATTTTGTGTACTGAACCAGGGCTTGGACACAAGCCTTCTGTTGTGTCAATACTACTCTGGAGGACATTGCTTCAGTTTATCCTTCTCTGTTTTGTCAGATGCATCTCACATTGCTCATATTTCTCTGAAATTAGATCTTGGGGGAAAAAGAGAGGTCAGGAATGGCTTCTCCAGCAAAACCCTTCCTTTTCCCACAGCTCACGCTTATAACTCAGAGCAGGAAGTGTTTTGAGGATTCCTCTTGCAGATCCCCACTGCCGCCTTTCCTACTATGTATATCCAATACAGACACAAGTAGTATAATTAACACCTGACTAATCAACATACTCAAGAGAAATTGTAAGTCGGTGGGAACTCGATGAAGAGAATTTGATTGTCTTAATTCCCAATTCATTTATTTACCAACGCTCCACTACTGTGCACTCCATCTTCAGTCATTTATTTCACATTTATGAACATTAAAACAATACTTTCACAGTAACAATTCATAAATTCAGAACACAAACTCCATTTGCTGTTTCTGAACTACCAGCTGCTCAGTCTAGAGTGACATCTTGCCGTACAATTTTTTAGCCTCTCTGGCATATTCCCTACTGCATCAGCTGTCTTCTTGCCTTCCTAGCCCACTCCTTGCCTTTCATCCTTTTAGTTTGATAATCCAGTTAATTTATGCAGCCTTTAATATTTAAGTACTTCTGGTAATGCATATGTAATCCTCTAATATTCAACACAATGAGTTAATAACTGCATCATCAGTTTTAACAGCT